ACGTGTTTTAGATGTAGAATAATGTGAACGAAACGATAAAAATATAAAAAGTAACCAATAATAAATAATTATAAATGGTTTTATGCATTTTAAAATGAATTGTAAAAATGTATTATTTATTAAAATTTTAATGGCTCTCATTCAGTCAATTTTGGTTTTAGAGCCTATGGTTAATTGGTAAAAACGAGTTCAAAAAATTCACTCTAGTAACCTAACCTACCGAGWGGGTAAAAAATTTGAAATTTATCAGAATATGTGTATTTATATACCACTAGCTAGTAAAAAAAATTCGGTTTATTCCAATATAATCCGGCCGAGAAATTCAGTGTTCCCTAAATTGGTAAACACACGGTATATTAGTACCGTAGTTTTCTAGCAGAGCATGAAAAAATATGTGTTAAAAAATTAATAGGTCTACGGGTCCACCCCCCCCCTCCACACCTTCTATAAACTGTTTTTCTGCTCAGATGTTGAAACGAACATTTTTGATAAAATGTTCATAATTTGCTGTTAAGGTTAGATGTTTTAACTACAATTAACGACTGATCGAATTTGTTAGACTGCGTCTTATATTTTTATCGTAACATGCAATTCTGTTTTTATTTTATCAAACAACACTCATTATTTCAAAAACTATTGACTTTTTTCAATTTTTTTTTTTCAAAATTTTAGAACCATCTTGTTCTAGAACTATATATTTTTTAAATATTTTCACCCTTATATTTATCAGGTTAACCATTATCAACTTTTGATTTTCGAATGACAACCTATACTTAAAATTTTACAAACTAAAATGGCTATTTTTTCAATGAATTTTCACGTTTAAATTTTCATTTTTCGTTAATMCGTTTAAAAGATATAGCCTCCCAAAGCTGGGTGGTGTTTGTCTGTTATAGGTGTATATTAGGTGGTATTTACACACAAACACCATATAAGTGTTGTTTGATAAAAAAATCACCCTGTATATATATAATAACATAATATGACATTCATTCCAAATTTAAATAAATTTTAACTTTTTATAGGATTAGTTATATCACAATTTAGAAGATATAATAAATAATAATTTAGATAACAGTTAACTTGTTTACTCATAAATATACGGTGGATACTTAAAAACTAAAAAAATCAATTCCGGATCCATTTCCCACCCTCGGAATTCTTTCTAAAGGATTATTACAGGGGTGGCCACAACGAGGCTTGCGAGCCGCTGCGGCTCTTAAATCAATTTCGTGAGGCTCTTGAATCAGACTTAGACTAAAATTAAGAGTAAATAAATGTTCCTTCATTTGTTTTAAAATGAAAAATTTATCTTTATTTTATAAACATTGCTTTACAATGAGTGGCTCACCTCGAATTAACTTTATAAATTTGCGGCTCTTTAAGTTAAGGTTATTGGCCACTCCTGGATTATTATATCCATAATCCGTACGGTGGGTTTTAGTATAGAAAGTAGAGAAATTTTGAGAGTAATATTGTGGAACATTTATAGAAATACGTTCTAGGAGAGAGGTACATGTAATTTTACCACTAATTAATTTTGAGAAAAGGGAAATATCGGCATTTTATGACGAATAGATAAAGAACTGAGATTAAGAATATTTTGAATATCATTTATAATTTTCATTATTTAGTATTTTTTTTAAATAAAATAAATCGCAAAAATCTTCTTTGAATCCTCTTGATTTTTTCAATATAGCATGCAAGAATGGGCAACACACAATAGACCCATACTCCAATTTTGATCGGATCAGGGAACCGAAAAGATTTTATAAACAATAAATATCAGTAAAAGATGAAGTAGATCTAATTAAAAATACAAGAGTTTTTATTTAGAGCTTTTAAACAAATTTGGTCAATGTGGGTGAAAAATAATAAGTCAGATTGGAATGTAATACCAAGATCACGAATAGTAGTAACATTAGGTAGGGAGTATAACATCATTGATTGAATAATTAAAGTTAATTTTATTTTTTGTATGACAAAACGTAATTTTTGAACATTTAGAGACATTGAGCTTTAATTTATTTACAATGCACCATTTAAGAAGTCTATTTAGGTCTTCTTGAAGTGTCAAACAATCATTTATACAGGCTATATTATGATAGARTTTCAAGTCATCAGCAAAAAGTTTAAATTTACAAGATTTGAAACATGTATCGATATCGAATAATATTAAAAATAACCAAGGGGATAAATGCCCACCTTGAAGGACACCTAAAGTTACATTGCATTTAGATGATATAACCATTTACTTTAACTTGTTGATGACGATTAACTAGATAAGATTCAAACCATTTTTATAAGTTTCCAAAATAGCCAATTTGTTTTAATTTTTGTATTAGAATTTCATGATTTACAGTGTCAAATGCATTCTGAAAGTCAGTGTAATAATTAACGTCAACCTTAAGACCTTTTTCAACTGGTCCAATAATCATATTGTTATGAAATTCTGATTAGTATACTCTGTTTCATAAAAGAACGATCAGTCAGATAATCTTTTTGTCAGTGCTGCGCATCTCCCACCAACGATCCGGTATTAGCGTGATCACATAATTATCGATACGCCATTCGCACGAATGCAAAAAGTGATTGTTCTCTTATGAGATGTAGTGTAGTTTTCAATGTAATATTCCTTATTCAAGGCCAGTATGTAAGGTTAGGTTAGGTTAGTAAGAATATGCACATTACACCCAATTATATTTAATTGTTTCTGCATTTCATGAGGTAATTTTTGATTTTCATTTAGTTTTCAGTGTTTTCACCCACATCGTGATTTTTTTAATATAGGCACTGCTACTAACCTTAATTATTTTATTTTTACTCTTTATAATATCACTATTACCTCATTTCGAACTATGTGGTTGACAGATATGTTTTATTGTTGAGTAGGTTAATTTAGGTTTATTGATTAATTCTAGAATCTGACCTTGAAAATTTTACCTTATCTTAACTGGTCATTTTACCTTGTTCAATTGTGTGTGCCATTTAGAAATAATGTTAAGTGTCTAATCCAGGCATATACTTCATTTGAGATTTTTAATTTTTACGATTCTAGACGTTATTCTATCACTATTTTATTATTTAACTAGCTGATACCTGCACACACGTCGTTGTCCGTCAAAAATACCAACTATATGATTCAAATTTGTGTTTAATTCGTTGTTTAAGATTTAAGAAGTACTACACCCACGTGTGTTGTCCCCGTCTTACAAATGTAAAAAATTATGAAAACTGTTTTGCGTGGAAAGAACCACTCAAACTCTATTTTCAGCTAAGCCACCAAACTTTCATACTATAAAGTGGAGAATATTTACATTTCAACTTTGTTTTTCGTTTTTCGATATCAGAACTAAAAAAAGTTATTGAAGTTTGAAAAACTCAAAAATAATGAATTTTAAACAATTATTTTTTGTATTTGTGAAATAGAAAAATTTAAAACACGTTGAAAATATTCCCCTCTTTATAGTGTGAACGGTTGGTGGCTTAGCTTGGATTGAGTGGTTCTTTTCCACGTAAAACAGTTTTCGCAATGTTTTACATTTATAAGGCGGAAATAGCACATGTGGGTGTAGCGTCCTCTTAATACCTGGTGTAGTTAGTGATGTTCAAAACTTAATAAAAATATATAATTTATTATGATCATATTATATACTACTACTCATACTACTCCTGAGCACTAGAAGCCATGATAACCCTTGGCTTCCAAAACAATTCTCCTTCACCCGTCCCGATATTAAGTAGAATTTCTCCAATTCTGTATATCCAGTTGCAGATTCTTCTTTACTTTATCCAACCATCTACTTGGTCGTCCTTGCCTTCTTGTTCCTTCCATTCTTGCATGCATCCATTCCTCGTTCATTCTTTGTGCATAACCTAACCATCTAATTCTTCCTGCTTTAATGAATCCTACTATGTTTTGTTTTTCGAAGATTTGTACTATTTCGTTGTTATTTTTTACCCTCCAAACCCCTCAAGTGTTCTTCAAACACTGCACCATATATTTTCGTTACCGGTTTTCTTTCAAATATTTTTAATTTGTTGCTATCTGCATTTGATAATGTCCAAGTTTCGGATCCGTAGAACAATACTTTCCTTAGAAGAGTTTTATATAACTTCATCTTTGTGGTTTTTAATAGCAGCTTTGATCTAAAGTATGATTTATTGGCTAATTATGCGCGATTGCTAGCTATAATTCTTTATTTTAATACTTGAAACATCAAATTTTTATTAGGATTGAAACAGGATTAGTAAAGTTAACCTATTTTTTAAATATATACCTCGAAGGTGAGAACTGTTAACTAAATGCTGATAATTTTTTTTTTTTCAGATCGAAAATGCATTTGTATACCAAAAAGTATATTGATAACTTGTTTAACAATGCTATTTTTAGCAAATGTGAAGTTTCTGTGGTAAAGTTTACTGCCGAAGACATAGAAAATTACAAATCGTAAGTTGATTTTTATATTAACGAGTATATAGTATGAGTACCGACTTACCGTACTAGTAATACAATTCGCGCACTGAATTTTAAATACGAACAAACAAAAGCCAAACTTATTTTAATTTAATGCATACATTATGTACCTATTTCAAACAAATATTATAAAATTGTATTATTTTGATACAACGATGATACATTGTATTAATATTTAATGAAATACTATCCTTATGAAGAGAACCTATTATAGTAAGCCCATCAGAATAGATAATTGAGAGCCAAGTTGCGCTTATGTTAAATCGTCTTGTCTCTTGTCCATTAAAATATTTTTCTTGAACCGGGGTGGTTTTAGTTCTTAAAGTATTTTTCATTATTTAAAAARTAATAACAGATAATTATTAATAATAATAATAATTATTCTATTAATATGACGGTTACCTATCTTCTAAACATTTCAATAAACCTGAATCTTAAAAATAGTATAACGGGTAGACCGCACATTACACTTAACCCTTTCAACTTATCTATTAAGTGTTTTTATCATTGATGAGTTTTGTTTATAATTTAATTTATACTTTAAATTAATAATTGTAAAGAACCGTTTTAGAATCTTTAATTACAATGTACATTTCACTGCAATACATTTTTGAATATTGGATATTATAAATAATATGTCATTAATCTCAAACTACTTTTTTTAAGATTATTTTTTTAATTCATTTTAGGAGCTTGACTAAAGGTAAAGATAGTACACCCAAAGAAGATGGCAATACATTTAAAGATGATAATTCTTCTAAAAACAATAAAAAGTCCAAGGTCGTTAAAATGCCTAAAGATAAAAATACATCTATAGACAGCGAGCCTGCTAAAAAAAAACAGAAGTTGGATACAGATGGAATAGATGTTTTGAAGATAGTGTTATCTAGAGAGGGTGAAACTGATAAATTTAAAGCACAATTTAAGTCTTCATTAAAGCCTAMTAAAGAAATTGCATCTACTAGTACTGAGGAGGCGGTTCCCATTGTAATTGATTGTGAAGAATCTACTGAACCTACAACTTCTTCAACTAAAGATTTAAATCCAAGGATTTGGGTCATTGATGTCAGGAATATGATGGATGAAGATAATTACGTCAGGTGGATGAAAATGTTTCTTCCTGATAAAAATTTCAAACATCCAATGAATGCCATGAGAAAGTTAGCAGTTGCTAAACCCTCTACAGTTGGATCATCACATAGTACCAAAGTAAATGGAATGAAACACCCTTTAAATGGCAGAAATCATGTAAAAGGAAATTTAATTGAAATTGAAAAATTGTATAAAAAGTATTTTAGCAAATCTGTACAAGATACTATTGTGATTATTGCAAATATACTCAACATAATTTCAATGTCAAACAAACATCACAAAGCAAGAATGGATGAATCTTTTAAGAAAAGATCTGAAGCTGAAAAACTTAAGGAAAGATGTGATGCAAACCGATTACATGGAAGACATAAAAAAATTTTGGAAACAAAGTTGAAGAGCAATTTTATAGAAGTTGTATCATCTTTTGAAGAATCAGAATTTGATTCAGCATTTCAAATGTTTTTTCTAAGTATATTAACTGTACTTCGAGTTTTGGATCAGCCAAAGTTCAGAAAAGGCAGCATCTTCAAAAATTTAGTACTTTTATTATGGAATAGTTTGAAAAACAGTGAATATAACCATCCCAAAATCTTTTCAATGTTCCGGTCTAAGACATTTCGACCCGATTGCATTGATTTAATAAGTTTGATTGAAGATAGTCGAGATGTTGATCCCGGAGTWACCGATCGCATGTCTTTGTTTTTTGTATCAACAGTAAATAGCCGTGAATATTTTCAAGCAGTTATTAATGCTGTCACTAGTGATTCGAATGAAGACCTGGCAGTATTAATTGATAATGCTACCTTTCAATGTTGCATTAATTCAAAATTTAAAGATCCTGTAGATTCATCAAATGACAAAATACCAGTAACAGAAACAATTCAAAGCCCTGTAATCAACTCTGCTGAGACAATTCAACACTGGTTCCTAGCCAAAAATCCCGATGGAACTTACCAGTAAGTTTTTGTTTTCTTATTACTGTTATAAACTGTTAGTTGCTGTAAACTATTTAATTTAAATACAATTTTAGATGTTTAGACCCCTTAAAGAGATTTTGTATCTATACAATTTTAGCTTGATACCAACTACTTGGTAGATCATTGTAACTATAGCATCTACATACATTTAATACCTATATAACTAATCATATTAACAGTTTCTAGAATATTATGACCATTAGTAAGAATATTATATTATTGCCTTGAACTCTTTATAATTCTTTTACATAGTTATATTCTTTGATATTTAGGATTACAAATGATAGATGCTGATTTACAAACACATTGGTTTTTTTTATTTAATGTATCTATGTTAAAAAAAGTTTCCAATTTTTAACTTTAGGAATGGTTACTGGTATTAATTGGATTGAGTTGGTATTTCTGTGAGGTCAAAATTGAAAATTCCCATTAGTTTTCTAACTCATCAGGAAATAAAACAATATTTTATACTTAGTGATTTGTTTTTTGAAAAATTATTTCATCTACTATATAATTAATTGATAAATAAATTCCTTAAAACAATAAAACTATCGTAATAAAATGTCCTTAGAATTATTATAGGCTAACAAATCATCTCTACTCATTTTTCATATACAATGATTTATCATTAAATTCAAATTGAACACCTACGTCCTTCATTACCATTATTTATTTAACTTGATGATACACTCTGTACCGACTGTACCTTCTTATAGCAGTTCACTAAACAAGTCAATGATTTCTCTAGTTTTAAGTTTTCTAAGTATTCTTCACCTTATGTACCCATCTTTTAGTTATCATTGCATTATTACAACTTCTCGACTCATTTATTGTTTATAAATGATAATACAACATATTTTATCACAGAGTATATAATATTCCCTATCTTATAGCTGTAGTTAAAATATTGATCTAAATATCTAAGTTATATTATATGTATAACCTTTATTTTTATTCATAATGCTCTTTGCTAGTATGTTTATTCTTTCATTGTACATTTTGTTATAATTAAAATTATATTAATTATTAATTAGTAATTAGTTCTGTTATATTTTTAGACAAATACCTTTGTTAAATGGAAATAAACCTCAAACAATTGGTAATACAGCAGTAGAACAGTCTATTATAACGAGCCAGCCCTTGAACAACTTTTATGAATCATTCTCTACTTCATTACAAAAGAAACCTTCTGAAACTTCTACTTCTCAAATGATACAAGCAAAGAAATGTATAGTTGTTACTTCTAATATTTCTAATAGTATGGTCCAAGCAATAGCATCATCATCACAAACTGCAACATCAACACCATTACCAACACCATCATCATCATCAACAACAACAACATATGTGACATTCAAACCTCCAATCCAAAGTAAAAAATCCACGCAAAACAATCTGCTTCAGAGAGCTGCTGAAGGCAGCACTATTTTACTTGGTAATAAACAATATCAATTGATTAAGGGGCCTTCAGGTCAAATGCGAGCAGTAGTTAATGGTACTAATATATTAGTCAAATCATCTCCAACCAATATTATCAAAGTAAGTAAAATAAAATATAATTTTTTACAGACTCTTATATTATGCATATTTGTATAACATAATCAATATCAATATTTCTAGTAATGATCTTAACTAATTAACCAAATTACCATTGAAATTAACTAATAAGAATAAGGTATTATATTTTCATATTATTAATTTCTTTTTTTCTCTGAATGAGAATTATTCTTTTTCCTTGTTTATTGTTAAGTCTTTTTTGAAAATGATGATATATATGCATCAAAATTTAAATGAAGAGTTTTTAAAAGTAGTAGAAACATGATGTTGGTTTGGAAGATTTAGAACAATAACGATATGAAAAGTATAGTACCTACTACTTATATAATATTAAACTATTACTTTTTTTTTATTATTATTATTAAACGAAATACACCCTCGGCGACATAGGCCATTGGGTTACTATTACTGTTTTATTGTTTATTAGCATTTTATAATTATAATAATTTTTAGATTATACATTGCATACTATGTACTTTTGTAAAACAATGTTTATGGTCTTATGGAGCATTATTCTTAAAATATACATTTTAATAATCCAAACTACTAGTTTGAAATTTTAGTTTAGAGGCTTCTATGTTAAAAAAAAAAATAATTTTAATATTCTTAAAACATTTTTTATGTATTTTTTTTTATAGTGCTTTGCGAGAAATTGTAAAAACCCTGCAACAATAATGTGTAGTAGCTGTACTACTGTGAAATACTGTTCCCATAACTGCCAAGTAAGAATATATTTGTGAAGTTACTAAATTTTTGTTAGAGAATATTATTATTTAAGTTTTTTTTTTCTTTTTTTAGCGACGTGACTGGTATGATAGTCATATAAATGACTGTGAACGACTGCTAAATAGAAGACAGACTCAACCCTAAACTTTCCATTGTATATGTAAATAATTTCAATGTGTTATATTTATATTAAAAGGTTTTTCAAGAAAATATTTATAAAAAAAAAAAAATGGTTTATAACAGGATATTTTTATGTTTCTTAAGTTTGTATAATTAACGTTAAGGTTGTACTATTACTATTATGTTAAATGTAATAATGCTATATAGTTTTTAGGGTTGTATGTTCTTAATTTTTTTTTTTATCTGTACTACAGTTATTGTTTTTCCAGGAATGGATCATCAAAATAAATAACTAACTTTTGGTATTTTCAAATTGTATAATTGTTTCTTAGTACACTCTTTATTTGAAAATCAATTTAAAAAAAAAAAAAAACTTATTCTGAGGAAAGGGAATAGACTGAGCCTTTTGTATTTATTTTATGTTAGGTTCTGAATATAATGGTAACTCAAAGAAAAAGTGCATGTCAACTGTTTGACCCACTACAGTAAAACTTCTCAGTTTATAAATAAAATAAATAATTTATGTATGTGTAAATAATTTGTAATATTTCTTTGTAATGTAATAAATATTGAGTTCTTTTGAAACTAACAATTTAGAGTAGTTATATAAAACCTTTGACTGTGGATAAATAAAACTGTTAAGATTCTCAATGCTTTAAGTAATGTTTTTTAATGAAAGATATTAAAATAGGTATTTCTCTTCTAATCTGAAACAGGTAATATAATATTTTTTTACTTTTGATGACTAGGTTTTAGTATATATTTTTTCTAATTAATTTTTTTTAGATGCTGAATTGGTTCATATATAACTTTGAAATTTTTCCTCCCAATCCAAAAAAAATATTTTCAGAAGCTTTTGTCCCAATCTGCATTGGTGGATGTTTGGGGGGGGGGAAGGGTAAGTTTTATCTGTTTACCTTAGTCAAATCACATAGGACATCTAAATAAATTGTGTATTTTAATACTTGTTTTTATAATGGATAAGACAAAATTTAAGCTGCCTAAATGATTTCTCTCCTCTATAATATACTGAGATACATATAATCTATAAATTCCAATTGAAACCTTTGTCCACTGTGATTCTATGGCATTATTTACAACTGTTTTGAAATTAGTGCCCATTATTGCTTATTTTGCAACCTTAATACTAATGTTTTCTTGATAAAAAAGCTTATTATTAGGAACATTTTTGTTGACCAATTAAAATAAAAATATATGAAAATCAAAATGAAAAGAAAATTTTGAGTAGGTATTATTCAAAATATTAGCTTATCCTCAGATATAATAATGATTATATATTTCCACGTGCTGTGACACTAACAGGTTACCTAAAATAGCCAACAAAGCTGGATGGGCTAACCTTTTCCAAGAAAGCTAAATAACGATTTGAATACTTATGCTTTAAACACTCACTTGGTTGATAGATCACACAGTTTATAAAAGTTATCAACCTTAAACTAACAACTCTTTAGAAAATTGGTGAGATTGGTTATTTATAATATAAAAAGAAATTGATAGGCAAAAAGGTGGGGGTGGGGGGTGACCAATTAGAAATGTCACAAGAAAAATGAAACACGTCGTTTTAAAAAGGTAATTGTTAACATTTTRTGGTATATTTATAGAATAATAATATTATTTTGACTTATTTTGTAGATATACAGAACTATGGTAAATGGGTAGGAACTAGAAATACAAATCTGTGGTGAGTGGAGTCATGGCAACTACAAGCTATTGAAGATTCTAATTTAAGAGTGATGTTAGGACTAATATATTTTGACCCATCTTCAGGCTTAATTTACCAGAGTCAATCTTCACACCTGTTTAATTTTTAGAATATTCAAAAATAAAAATTGAATCGAATTTTTGGACTTGAAAATATTGATTTGATTGGGATTTCTATGCCATCGTTTAATTATGCTGTTAGAATGTAATCATATTTTTATAGATTCTGAGCAAATAAACACTACCGATTCTGTCTACAACTATTATTTTACAATTCTGAGAATTCATCATCATCAGTGGTTGGAATAATATTGCTTGAAAATAATTGGCAAATAGTTCTACTCACGGATGAATTAGATATTCGATATATAAACTAATTCGGCTATCAGGGTAGAATCTCTGGATTAAATTTCGTATATTAAACCACTTTTTTTCCAATTAAAGTTATAGTAAATAAATATTATATTGTTCTGCTATCTAATTGTGCTACATAATCTTATTCATTGAAGTATATTATTTTAAAACAAGTTGACATATACATTATACATATATATTGAATTAAATGGACGTCGTTCGGCCTACAGGTTAAAGGTAAGTAAAAAAKCTCCTTTAATTCTTCCCGAAAATGACTGTTAACAACTAACATAAATGGCATATCTAAACTTGCATCACACGAGGTAGTTTAGAAAGATATTTGTATAATAACAATTATTGTGCTTTGTTCAAATGCACATTTTAGTTTATAATTTAGGAAATTGGGCTTTGGTCCAAAATGTTCTATTTTTTAAATTAAAAAAATTCGTTTATTCTACATGGCGTGAGAATTTTTCTTGTATGATTTATGACGCCATTCATACATTGAACTGATCGCCTACTATTCTCTCAACATGTTATTTTTTTTAGTGATATTTTTATTTGATACTATCCAAAAACATTTATTCCAGATGAGTGTTATAAGGAGGAAATTTTTATCAAGATAATATCATATATACTGTAAGTCAGCGACTGTAAAGAATTGCTCAATGAGTAAACAGAAGATAACGAACCATATTAGGAGGATTATATAAATCGGGAAAATAAAAAAAAATCTTAAATTGTGCATCAAGGAAATAATATAATAAAGGTTTTGAAGGATTGATATATTCTCGGAATGATATTTTTCTTAACAGAAACTAAGGTGAATTAATTTCCTCGTGAATATTTTCTTGTAAATAACTGTCCTGTTCTATGTTTTTTTTTTCTATTAATACGGATCCACGTGTATAATATACTCAAAAATGATGTCCTGAGAATTATTTTACTGTTTTATATTTCCTTAATTAATATTGTTTAGAAAAATACCATTCTGAGAATATATTAATCCTTGAAAATATCATTCCTTTATTATACCATTCTTCTGAAATATCTTTCCCTATAAGAAATCTAGTCCGAATAAATATTTTCCTCATTTATATGTGCTCCCCCATATTACATAAATACCTATTTCTACCATAGTGCGATTTCATCCCCTTTTTTAAACGTTATTCATTTAATCTATGGCATGATCCATACGGCATCTATGGAAATAAATTTAAACATAATTTTTATRCATGATTGCTATTCAAAACCTTTTATTTTTTTTATAAACTGAAAGATTAAAACTTATAATACTTACACTCAATGCTCATGTAACAATGTAAGATTAATATCTCATGAAACTATGAAAAACATTGCTGTCTGCTGATATATATATATATATATGTATGGGCCGAGGGCCGTTCTCCGACAACTGATAATAACCAATTTTTTCTCCGACAGTCAGAGTGACCAACCATGAAAAAAAAAATGTCAAATTGTTATTTGAAATAAATATATATAGATACTATACACATATTTCTACTCACATTTTGTTATTTCGACTTCTACTTTTATAATACCTGTAGTTTAAATTGTCCACAAATATTTGTGACTTAAGTCTAACACYAGGAATTATTGTGTATGTTGTTGCATGTTCTTGAACTGTAAATAAAATTATAATTATAATTAATATAGCTATTGCTATATGTAAGTAATATTTACCTTTTATATAAATATATGCATATAATTTAGTACTTACTGTTAACTTCTTCATCTACATCCACATCCACATCTACAATAATTTCTTCTGGAAGATTGGGAAGAAGTAAAACATAATTATGGTCATGTAAATGATTCATATTAAAAAATAATATTGAAAACAAATAACTAGATATGTGTATAACTGAAAGTTAAGAAAGTTTAACCAAACAAAAAATAAACCACAATACTAGAGTTTATGTACAATAAGACTGAAAGTGTTTTATAAAACTGTTCTGTAAATTTCCCGCAGTAAAGTATAATAAATAAAAGAAAACTAACATAGTATTTTGTAGATAAGTAAAATGTCATAAATTAAACAAAAATAACTCCATATTATCTTGACATAAATTGATTTTATATGTTACATACTTTACATCTTGGCGTTAACGAGGTAATTCATTTTTATTCTTAAAAATGAGTTTCGACGATTCAGATGACAAATTTGTTTCCTTTTTACCCCAAAATTTCCCTAACGTCATTTTAATAAAAATTATGTTGGTAATGGAAAATATTTGAGGTTACATCATGTTATCAAATTTATGTTTGTCGGAGAACGACCCCCATCTCCTACTGTATATATATATTTCAAATAACGACGCAAAGCCAACATGAAAATTTCGATAACATGTACAAATGCCACATGCCCGCATAATAATGTTATTATTGTTATTTTTTTTTTTTATAGATAATTAATTATTAACGTTATAATATGACATTGTTGACTTGTGTAGACTCTTGCGATAAAAATAATATCTTATTATTGTAGGAGATGGCCACAATCGTCATTCGTTGTCAGAATGTTTTAAAAAAATAAAAGAACAAAATTAAATATTTTGAAGCATAATAACACTATAATATTATAATAATTCAGCGTACGCTCCGAAAAAGGCGAGTGGCTAAGCGATAACGACACATCAATCTATTAATAAAATAAAAATAAAAAATTGTATAATATTTAATAATAATAAGTGGTTGTCGTCGTGGTCGACCCGACGCTCGGCGCGATAGCGCAACCAGACAATATGTAAATTAGTAAATTTAGATATAAATGATATAATTCGAAATTCGACCATTCTATGGTTTATTTTTATACCACAATACAATAAAAAATATTTTTGAATAACAAAATATTTTATTTTGATTTCAATTCTAAAGATCGTAATTTTATACGAAAGTACGGAAAATTTTCGGGGGAGTGGGGTCCTAACCCCATGGACCCCCCCCCCCCC